GGGGGGGGCGGGTTTTGTGTAGTAGGCCAGGTCAAGTAAGTTCGGAATGGAGGGCTAAAGTTTGGAGGACTTGCTGTAGCTGTTAGTGCTGGTTGGACCCAGTTGCTGTCGCTTTTGCCATTATTAATTACCGGTATGCCTTTTACTGCTGCTGTAACTTCTGCGTTGACATGCAGTCTCATTCACGTCCATTTATTCTCCTTAGGCGGTCAGGGGTCCTGTTATCTGGAGTAGGGGCCTAAACAACACTGTAGCTATAAATGGCTCCTTAGCAATGTCCGCATAACTTGTTTTGATAACTGAGCAGTGGGCATATATTACACGATACGCTCAAATTGGGAAGTCATTAATTTGTTATCCCTGCGTTGTTTAAAAGAGCAAACGAAAACGAACGCGTTTGATGACAATTAGAAATTTCTCCATATCCCCCATTCCAAACTGTCCTTTTGAACCTTACATTATTGTACTTTCTACGTATTATTGAACGTTATTTCGTTGGGGGCACGAAGATCCCACGTGCTCACAAATTCGTCCTCAGCTGTCAGTACCCTGGGATTCCCTACTTAAAGGTTATATTATTATGCCTCCCACTCCTACCTCTAAATAAAGTACGTGTACTTTTAGTTTTAGGCGTACGCCTATAATTATTTAATTTGGCTATACTATAAGCTAATAACAAACAAAAAACCGTTGCATTTTAACGCAGTAGACTCCCTTGCGAAATCAGCAAAGGGGGGGGGCTCGATGCTCAATGATGATAAACGTTTTAAAATAGTAGTTTTAGTGCTCACTTTTTAAAATGTAGGCTACTTTAGTTGGCTTGAATACCGTAGTGTAGTGAACAGTATGAACGATGAGAACTCAAATCGTAGGCCTACAGCTGAGAGGAGGTTCGATCAGTGAGTTTATTATGGATGTGCCTAAGGATGGGATTCTGATGACATTCATTTCAAGTGAAATAGAGGGAGTATTTCAAGTTAGGCGTTGAGTCCTCTTGTTTAAGTAGGCTTCTATCATATACTCTTACAAAACACGCTGTAGGCACACTGATTTGGAAGGCCTCCGGAAACAGGTGTAAGATCTAGACAGGTGGCATGTGGGAGGGCAGCGTGGTGGTAGCCTGTATATATATGTAAAAGAGGGCGTGGCTGTGCTCATGATCAGTGTAGACATGACATTTTTAATTAATACTATTTAGAGAGACACAAAATGGCGCTGTCTAGACCGAGTGAGAGGAGGAGTTTTCACAGATAATCATCATCGGTTGGCTGGCCTACTTATTAACGGCTCCTCATGAACAATTCACTTCAATTTAGTCCCCCCCCCCCACCCCTGCTTCCCTATTGTTTTGTTCCTCTGAAATTCATACACATATCTACTGTCAATTTTAAAACTTAGAAGGACATATTGTAAGATATCTTGGTGATCCTTAAACATCAGCAACATTCCTATTGGTTCTCAGTGTCAGTTGTTTTTTTATGTCAAATTGTGTTCTTTATTTATTAATTAAGCCGAGATAGTGTCATAATAGGCAGGTAGGAAGACATACAGATATGCAAACAGTCAGGTAGGTAAGTAGCCTTACTGGCTGGTTGACTCACTGACTGACTGACTGACATGCTGTATATACAAAGAGCAGAACTGAACCAGCAGACAGGTATTTTATAACATTATGATGGATAGTTGACTCACTCGTAAAGTTATATAAATCCCTACATATTTTATTCATCCTGTTCCAGGGAGGAGTTCGAGCCCCGAGGTCAGCCAAGCCTTTCCTCGCCTAGCGTTCTGCCACAATGGACGCGCTGATACTCAAGACAGACTTTAACCACAATGATGAGGAGAAACATGAGAACTTTAGGTAAATGCATTGTTATTCATATTACATATTTTGTTTTATGATTTTTGGGGGTTAAAAAATCAGTAATAAGTCAACCAAATGCTGGCAACCCCATACCCAGAAAGACTGATTAATTTTTCAAGAGTCATCATCCGTGTCGGTCATCCTTCTGTAATCCCAGTATTTCTCCTGAATGAGGACAGCAAAATGGTTTACCTAGAATAGAACCGAATAGCCCAGTTGATTCAGAATACAACAGAACTATGTTCTCAACTCTGACTCTGGTGGTTGCAGTGGCAATCTATATGTAAACATGTCATCTTGTAATCAAAACACAAGGTATATATATATAGGAACTTCAATAAAAGTAAATTTTCACCCATTGTTGAAATAGGCTAAATCATCTTTCGCACTTGGCGTCACAGCGACCCAATTGTGGCTTCACAGAGAGATGAGAGCCCGGATGTCCATGGTCAAAAAAGTTCTGAGTCCTAGTTTACTTTTACCGAAACTTCATGTTTTCTTTCAAAGACCCCCCCCCCCCCCCTGAACATCTCTTCGTTTTCCGACCCCTCAACCCCCGGGCCCTTATTCTAAACCCCCCATACCCCCCCCCCCCCCAACTCCCTCTCCCAACATAATTAAGGTTCGAGTACTTATCTGATGCTAAGTAATTAGAGAGCCTTGGAAAACTCCTCAAATAACTGATTGAGGTTCAAGCAAGGATCATCCACACCATAGCCCAGCACGTTACCAACTGAGCTAATAAATAAATGTGAGATTTTAAAAAAGCTGGCTCTGTGAATATCATATATTATTGTAGTTCGAAGAATGGAAGGAAGTAGATACCATTTCTCCCCCCTGACCTCCCAAAAGCCACTCTATGTGTGTCTTTAGCCCTTACACATACCCATCAGGTTATATATTATGTTATAAGCGCCATAATAGAAGGCGAGTGAGAAAAAACCAAGAAGCAAATATAGTCAGTATTTCCTTATTTCAGGGATGCCATGGATGAGTGGTCATCTAGTCACATGGAGGAGTCAGGCTTGAAAGATCTGGTGAAGGGGCTGAATGCTCTCGCTGACCGACTGACTGGCAAGGACATTCCTGATCTCGGCTCTGAGGGTTGGGAGCAAGCCGAGTATGCCTTTAATGAGATCAACAACATTGCAATGTGAGTACCGCTAAAAACAATGAGTGTTTACTTTTGAAGGAGAAATGGTTGGGTGGGGGGAAGGTAACAGAAACGGCTGTGTGCGAACTTTAAGGAATTATAGTATCAGAGGTGTTGACACTCTTTTGGGGAGACCGTGAGATGTATTTGTTTATCCACATATTACAGGTGTTTCTGCATAATCAAACTGACAATATTTTTGTTCTGAGAGAGGAGGGGAGTAGATGACATTCCCTCTCCCTGACCCCTCGAGAACCCATCCTTATGCCTAATATATTCCTTGAAAGTATCTTTTAAAAATTCCCTTTTGGACTGTTTTTCCAGATTGGTGTTGTTACCAGTTTCATGTACATTTAGAAATTCATAATTTGATATGCCCTCCCTCACGCCCCCCACTCCTCCCATTTTGTACACATTACAACCCCTATTAAACAACTAATCAAGTAAGACATTTCTTCAACATATACCCATTTGTCTCAGTTGCACAAAGTTTTCATTATTTCATCCTTTTGCTGTACCGGTAACATTGCCATGGATGCTGCAACAAACTCAAGCCAGCAAACTTTAGAAAAGAAATTATGTTTCTCTCATCTGCATAAGATATCTAGTGATACAAGGAAAAAACTCTGAAGTTAGAATTCAACTTGAGTCCTTATTATAACTTTCTTGGCCTTCTCTGAGTATTTTGTGCCAACCCTAAATATTGTCAGATGATATACTTTTCAACCTGGTCCGAGTCAATTAAGATATTTAACAACATCAAAAGAGTAACACGCTGTATTTGTTTGGATTTTTTCATTGTATAAAACAGCCACAATATCTCTCGAGAAGCGGTACAGGCCAGTGAGTTCCACGAACCATACTACAACTTTATCCTTCGCTATATGGAATTTGGGCCCGGCACTATTCACATGCGCATTATCTCAGAGTGCCTTGAGGACAGTTACTTGGAACTTAACACCTATCTGAAGGTGAGCGTATGCATCATGTCATTATCAGAGGCAAGTTCTGTAAGGTACATGAGAATGGTAGTATTTGTTGGGTGCAAAGCAGACTTTATGTCCTAGAACGACTGTGATTTTTAATTGGAACAGACAGGCGAAAAAGCTTATATTGTGAAGTTGTGGAAGTCTTCAAATGAAAGAAAAACATGAATTTGATTATTTTCTCAGACTTTTGAAGACTCACGATTGTGAACATCACATATCCAGTCTAAGCTGATATTATCAAGGCCTAATTATAAACTAAAATGGGGGAAAGTGCAAGAGTTTGATATTATATATATATGTATTTGGCATGATAGCAATCTTGATTTCTTAGAGAGAGAATGTGTGTGTGTGAAAGAGAGAGAGAGAGAGAGAGAGAGAGAGAGAGAGAGAGAGAGAGAGAGAGAGAGAGAGAGAGAGAGAGAGAGAGAGAGAGAGAGAGAGAGAGAGAGAGAGAGAGAGAGAGAGAGAGAGAGAAAAGAGGGGGGGGGGAGAGAGATGAGGGGTGTGGGAGGGTGGAAAGGAAGGAAAAGTAAATATTACCAGAAATGTTACTTTTTAGACACAGAATAAATCTTGTCAAATCATGATGAAATATGCAATTTCCATGAATACAGATTAAACTTGGTTTTGATGCATATTAGTGAAACCATATTTTAGATATATTATACAGTTTGCACTGTAATGTTATGACAATGTATTGATAATGTGACAAAATTGTTTATGCTCAGTCAAATCCATGTGTTTCTAGGTGCACTTGTTCAGTGTTCAGTTAATTCCAAGCCCAGAGTTCAGCCTTTCTTGATGGTGCTCAAGTCAAGCCATGAATATTGTATCATTAGAAAGCTATCTATAAACTCCAAAAATAATGTGTTTGGTTGTTTTTTTTACAGGTTTTGATTGTCTTCAAAACTCTTACATTAATCTATTTTGTTCTGGGGTTTTTTCTTCTTCAGTCTCTCAAAGGACAAAAACTTAACAGGCTTTTGGCAGCTCTAACCAAAGACATTAGGCCAAAAGAGATGGTGGGCAAGTCAGAATTTGCAGAAAAATATGATCAGTACATATCACAGTTTGAACGAGAAGTTTTTACGTAAGTACATTCCCTTCAACCCCTTCCTCCACCAACCCCCATAGATGTTTCTCCCTTTTCTCTCCCTGTCTTTGTTTCTTTATCTCTCCTTCCCTCCCCCCCCCTCTCTCTCTCTCTCTCTCTCTATCTCTCTCTCTTGCTCTTTTCCTCTCTTTCTCACTTTCTCTCTATCCTCCCACCCCCACCCCCATAAGACTTCTACAAAATTGTGGATGGATTATTGAGAGCACTTTTTAAAAAGTGAACCCCCTCCTAGGGCAGCATCTTTGATACCCGCATAAGAAAATACATTAAAAATGTTGTGTACCTTTGTGGAAAGGGGAATAAAACTTAATGAATTAGCACCATCATTTTTGAGGGTTGCAATTTCGCCTTACTACTTGGGGCAGCTATGTATTACCTCAAGAGATTTGCTCTTATTGTATGAGAGCTTATCAGCTCCTATTAGACACTTTGATTAAGCAAGTAGTATCGGAAAGTCGAAAGTCCTTCACAACATGGATGATTTTGGATTGATTATTATTTTAGTGATAGTAGAGGACACTCCATACAGAGATGAGGAGGGTTGTCTTTAAAAAAAAAGCCCAACAAAATTCAAACGCATTCACACAGATCAGAGATGATCCAGGAAAACCTCAAAGTGTTTTTAGACTTCTACACCCATCTGAGCCTGGACTTCCTCGATGAAGAGGAAGATGCCTGTGAGACGATGGGCAGTTTGGGAGAGCAGATCTATCGTGCTTTGGATGACCCATGGGAAGTAAGTCATAGCTAGGTCATCTACTTTTTTTCTGAGACAAACACATTTACATATCTACTGACAACTTAGCCTGCAGGTACCCATATTGTGTTCTGCAAGTAAAACTCAAAGCAAAGGGTGTTTCAAAGTGAACATGACTTCCAAAATATATTATGTCAAAGACTTCGTTAAAAAAAATATTACTATTAATAAAGAAATTATTTGGTCTCTCTGATCTCATGCTTTTGTTGATACATGCACTGTTGCTTTCATATTTTGTGCACTGATCACACTGATTTCTATACAGATAAGAGAGAGATGTTCTGTTTTCATTCAAAAATCTTTCTGGTGTCCACATAGAGCAAAGGCTTGTTAATGTTAACATGTATCTGTGATGCTTCTTTTCTTGTGAGAATGTTATTATTTTTTTAAACTGTCGCTGTCAGCAACAGAAGGCCAATATCTTCTCATTAACTTCTGTTGTCTTTTTTTCTAGAAATTCAAAGACATCCCAGTTATCAAGTTGTACTTCCAACGGCTGACTACGCTCTTCAAATCACCAAACTTTCCCTCACATGAAAGAGCTCTTAGGGTTGTGAAAGAGTACACTAGTAACATCTGCCCCAGTCTCGGGTAGGTCTTGCATTTGCTCATCATTATTCATCATCTGTCCATATTTTCTTGTCTGTCGTTCTTTCTCAGGTTTTCTTTTTTTCTTTTCTGTTCTCTAATTCTTTTATAGAAGGAATGATACAATAATTAGTATGTGAGACAGCGTGGTGAAATCAGGCGCTCGTGAAAATAATGAAAATGAAGAAACTGGCATTTTTCTGCAGGTTTCGGAATTTTTTTCAAATGTTTGTTTTTGGCTCAACACCTTCTATGTCCATTAAAGAACACATTTCTGTGTGGATTTTTATTGAAAAACATTGATTGGAGGCACAAAAATGTAAATTTTCAGTTTCCACGGACTTTCAAGCAAAGAATAACAAACTTTGGTGGCCATTTTCTTGCAAATTTTACCTATGAAACCATGTGACCGCACTTCCTTCAATTGCCAATATCTTGACTTGTATCCAAGATAAATGGATATTCTTTTCATCAAAAGCAAGACAAATGCACAAGCTTTAAGATGATACCAATAACTCTGCGTGCCCAAAAATTGACAAACGCCTGACTCCACCTTGTCGCGACACATATGCCTACAAAATGCAATAAAACTACCTATTTTCCTCCCTCTGTCTGTTTTTCTTTATTTTTTTCTCTGCCTGCCTATCTGTCTGTTTCTCTCCTCCATATCCCCACTCTCTTTGGCACTCCCTTTCTTACCCCCCTCTCTTGTCTCTCTCATTTTCATTGCCCCCCCCCCCCCCCCCCATGTGTGGTCCTCTTACAAACATTTTAACACTGACCACACAATATATTCTTCCTGTTATCCATCTTGGGAAACAGAAAGCCCACAAGGGGCCTTCGTAGCTCACTGGGTTTTTTTTAACTTTAACTTGAATGAAGAGTTGAATAATTCATCCTCCTGCTTGTGTACTGGGATCTGAAGTGGGGTTTGAAAAGGGCTGAGGTGGGGGTGAGGGGTGGGGGTAGTTTGCAGGTGCATCATCCTGGAGTTTTCATCACACCGTGTCCTTCTGTCAACCTCTTTTTCTTTCTTCTCAAGTTCTAACTTGGGATTTGTAAAATGTGGGATTGGTGTTCCATAGATTCCACTGACACACACATATTTGTGATTGTTATTTTTTGTCTTATAACAGCACACAAGGTCTGGTGTTAGAGCTGTATGAAGACATCATTGATCTTGCTGTAGCCGTTTCTCACTGCTCCTTCAGTGATAAGGACCTCTTGGTTAGGATATTCAACTCCTGCGTGGACTTTTTCAGAAAACTTGAGGATCAGCACATTGCAGTATGTCATGAAACACTTGCTAACCTAATGTTTTCTTTTTGTTTTGTTCGTTATAAAAGGCCGCATTCATAGTCTTTTTAACCTCTACAGTCAAGCTGGCTATGTAATTGGATTTTATTTTACTTTACATCAGTAACTGTATTGGGCAGATCCCATACAGCAATGTATTCCATCACTGTTACTGTTAGTAAAGATGGGTATAAAAAATTCTATAAAGACATAGATCTACCTCTTCTTTTTTTACTTGAATAAGGTGGGTGACTATGAGTCATGTGTTACTTCCATAAACAACTGGTGGTAATTATTTACAATTTGCATCATTAGTGCAGTACACATTTGGATTAGGTACTGGCCAAGATGCTCTGTGTTTATTTTAAAAAATGAAAGACTTGCATGAAATGTTGAAGATACTCTAACAAAAGACAAAGAACACGAACACACTTTATATTTTTCTTTATCATACACTAATAAATTAGTCTTTATGGTGTTTTGTTCAAGTCTTCCAACCCTCTCCAGTTTTTGGAATTAATTAAATGTGATGTCTATCTTTAAAATTTCATATGATTTTCCTCAAGATTTCCAATACAGCACATCCAAGTACGTCTAAACCCCTGATCTATAGCCCCCTTTTTAAAGACTACATCAGCTGAACCATGAGAGAAAGAAGCCAATCCCATAATGGATCTTGTTCATTTTCCACAAAGGTCCACAGACTTTAAGTCATGCAAAGAGAAACAACCATAAAAAAATATTATGTTATTAACTTTTCTCTTTTCTTTATTCCTTTCACAGAAGAAACCAGATGTATTCAAGGCTGTAGCCAAGAAGTACACGGAAGCAATAGAAAAACTAGACTTCCAGTTCCTGTCTGAAGAAAATTTCGCGGACAAGATAGCGGATGACGTTTTGAGAAAAGCATATGCAAAGTAAGGTAGTTTCTGTAGGATGTTTATACAGAAATCCTCAACAATTGTGTAATAAAAACATTTTCCTGTTGATACAGGAATTTCCAATAACTGTGTAATAAAATGGTTTCCTTAAGCTGTTATTGGGGATTGCACAGGGGGGGGGGGGGATTGTTTTGTAGAGAATATATTTTATTTGTGTGGCTGGTGTTCGACCCTACCCTCCCACTGCTCTGCCTGTAAATGGAAAATACACAACATCAGGCCTACAATTAACGGGTGTGGCTGTAGGGCTGAGTCTGATGAGACAAGTGGGTCCACTTACAGACTTATACCTTGTCTGTTTTATTTTAATTGTTCACGACTATGCGGTGCATTATAAAAAACTTCATGAATAAGTCCAGTGATGTAGGGACAATGAAGTGTTATCTTATCTTTCCCTGTCTTGGCTTATCTTATCTCATCACATGTGCATTTGAGCAAAACTGTAGAGAAGAAGAACTATGCTATTGCCCTTTTTTAATCAATATCAATAAGCATAACAATTAATATTATTTAAAGAAGATTCATGAACTACTTTATTTACTATCTCATTTATGTTCATTTTGTTTTGAGGAGAGCCACGATGCTCTGTAGCTCAATTGCTGTCACTGAAAAATATGTTGAGTAATGAAGGCAACTAACTGCTTATTCTTACATTAGACATTCTATGTTTGATCATCTTTATAACAAAGTTTCAATTTTGAAATTGACATTCTTTTGAAGGCATTGCATTGTGTGGGACATTATATGTTTTTGGTTTTTGCAGACATATTTTTTTTGACTAACTGAATGAGCTATGCCCAATTATGTGTGTGTGTGGGGGGGGGGGGGGGTGCTTTTTCTTACAAGGAAAAGAGTTTGAGGAAGGCAGGGGGCCACTACTAATAATAAAGTGAATGTGGTTTTCTTTGGTTAAAAAGAAGACATGCTGAAGCAAATGATACATTTTGTTCCAGGAACAAAACACTTGATGGCCTTTGGGTGAGTCTGATAGTGCCTCTTTTGAAACGGCCATGCATCGAGACAATGCGTGCCTGTCAAACAATAGTCTCTGAAAGTGACACAGTCAAGTGGAAGGTGAGTCAAAGAGTGCAGTTATTCTTTTCTCTAAGAGATTAAACAGACTCTCATGCAAACAGCTCCACTTTCAATTAAAAGTGCATTTAGCTAAGAGACACTAAATTTATTCGAATGTTGAATAGGTTTCATGACAGCTTGCAGCACGAAATTGTTTCATTATTATAAACTATTTATCATTTCCACGTAATGGAACTTCTTACTAGACGATCTCAACCATTCATTGATGCGAACAGATTATACTAGAGGATGTCGTCTGTATACATGTATACGATTTATGAACTTAAATAAGATGCTGAATAAAGTAGTTGTCAAATCTTTTACTCTGCCACACCTAATCAAAAACTTTTGGAGAAATTAAATCTTAGTATCTTCCAAAATATCTGAATGTTCTTTTACTGATGAATTAAAGAATCAACAGTTGTAATTACGGTTGTGAATAAAACAGTTTGAGACAAAAAAAGTGTTTAACGTAATATGGCGCAAACATGGTTAGAATCAAACACTGACGATATATATGTATACATATATTACAGCAGCATTATACAGTACCTTTTTTTATTCTTTAAACGAACAGTCTGAATTTTTTCTTCGTAGGAACACCCTGAAACCGCCAGAGAGTTGTTTGATGTGATTGCCTCTCTGCACCTCCCAGAAAAATATAAAGATGACGAGAATAAGAAAGAGCGATATCTCAAGACAGTTATTAGCATCACCAAGGCTTTCCTAGAGGGGCTCAAGTCAGTACAAGCTTCTCACACTCGGGATCTCACAATATATGTACTGTACTGTTTAATTATGCATAAGTTCTTGGCAGCTCAGGTCACAGTAGAATATGAGCTAGGCCTGCCTCAGAGATGTTCAATGTTTCATTTTGAGTGGATCATCTATTTCTACCATCTCACATTGTATTTTCCTCTCACCATGGTGCCAGTTAAAGGGAATCAGTGAAAGGGAATCAACTTCAATTGAAATCTTTTAATTGATTAGGGGAACAATATCTTATAATAATATAACTAGAAAAAGCAAGCAATTATGTGCTGCACTTAATAAGCATCTTACTCACACATTGAAGGCATTTTGAAAGGTCACGCCCTTTCTCTTTTTGGTTTAATAAGTAATGGATATCTTGATGTGGAGAAAAAAATTTGAGATAGGCATGAAATAGGGATGCTGAAAAGCTTTCATTATCTTATATAGGAAGCCAACATGTGCAGTTTTTTTTTGAAAATATACGCTCAGAACCAGATTCTTAGTCAGGACTGCTCTAGCTGCATGTTAATGGCTTCAAAGATGGTTATTGTTCTGCATCATACAACATGTATATGATTATTGACAGTTCCAAATTATGTATGTGAGTCCAATAATAGAAAAAACTACTAGTGCCCATCCCTCTTGTTGTCTATAACTCCAGCTTGATTTTTTTTTTACTTCTTAGGTTGTTTTTTTTAACACCCCCATCAACACAATTTATCTGATCATTTAGGTGGTGGGCTGCTGACCCTGCTATCAGGCCAACCTTAGCTGAGAGGGACACAATGGCATAGCAGAAAGACTGAGATACTTGATAAAACTTTCTCCCCACCTGGGGATCAAACTTGGGTCTTCTGCATGCAACACTGAAGCACATAACTACAACACTATAGGCATTGTTGTTTGTTTGTTTGTTTTTCTACTTCAATCACATTGCTCACAAACAGAGATGAAGTAGAATTTCAAGATACCCCCAATCCACCCACCCCTCTCTTGCTGAGCAGTTGTTTTTCCTATATTAATAATTGCATCCATCGACCTCCATTCGACCTTTCTGTTTGTACTTATAATTTATTGTTCATCTAGTGCCACAGTTCATACTATTAATCTATAGCTTTGTGAACTGCATGGTTGCCTAATATGATTGAACCATACTTATTCTTTTTGGCTCCAGTCATGTAATTCCCTAGCCCTATGTGTTTGCTCTAGTTTATTTTACAATGTGCCTATTGACGCCCAAGGTGCGATCTATGAAAATACTATACAGATTTTCTAAATTATGTTCATGTCTTCTTGGTGTTTTTCCTGCTGTTGAACAATGATGAGGAGGATAATGAGGAAGATGATGAAGATGAAGGGGTTTTCCAGATGAAAAGTCAGGCACCTTGCGCTGAAAATCTTTCAATATTTTGCTTATGTATTGTCTTTTCAAGATTTTGTCTTACGTTACAACAAATGATTATAATAATGATGTGGATTGATTTATTGCAGGAAAGCTAAAATGCTCAAAGAATATGGAGAAAAGATGTTGTCCCTGGTTCTTACATGCATCGAAATGAATGACGTCCTCATGTTTGAACTTGGGGAAGAGATTGGGGACAGAACAGAGCTCAACATAAAGGTAAAATTTCAGTAGTGTCCTTTTAGTGTTGCTGCTTTTAAGAAAGTTAAACATGTTTTGATGTATGCTCCTCATATTGTATTGTTGAAAGCAGTAACGACCAAAAATGATAGCAGTGGTTAAATATTATTCATTCCTCTTTTTCTTCAAACTGTCTCTCATTTTTATTCTGTAGTTTTAAAAAAAGGATAGGAACTCTCGGACACTTTTCATTTTAGCTAATGTTAGTGTTGTTGCTATTGTTAACTCTTTCAAGCTGGGGTGAGCCTCTTTCTACTGGCCGTAACATGAAAAAACACTTTCTCAGAGGTGAACTTGCCTTTGGCAAAAGACTTGAAGGACACCTCCTGATGCAGTACAAACATATCTGAGCATCAACACAGATAGCTGGGGAGACACTGCAGCCAAAAACATCCACTGGGCTGCTTAAGCTAGAAATAGCTGAAGAAGTGTGAGGAGAAGCTCCTGGACTCAGAAGAAGAGAAGAGAGCCAGATGGAAGACACTGGCACTTGCAGATGTCCTCATACTTTAAGAATAGCCATATCTGCGCCTTGTTGTGCTGGGATTGCCACTCCTGCATTAGTCTCGCCAGCCATTAATTATGCTGCTCTAGTAGCAATACCATGAACTTTTAAGGCACAATTCGCATGGTCTACAAGCTATCCAAGGAGACCTGCTACTGTGCAGTGAAAAGAAGGATCAAGATTCAAATGAGACTTTTACACCAAAGCAAGCAATCTATTTATCAACGTACCAGTCTACCCAAACACCCATCCACTTACCTACCTATCTAAGCTATCTATTTGTCTGTCTGCCTGCCTATCTGTCTGTCTGTCTATCACTGGGAGCAAAGAACATTAACCCACAATGCATTGATAATTTACAAAGTACTTGTTATTTATGTACCTTGGTACAAATACAAATGTGCTTAGCAAATACCTTGCCTTGTAGATAATTTTGCCCTTTGTGAACCTCTTCCTGGCAGTAAAAATCTGAATCCTACTTTTTTTTACTTTTCCCCCTCCACCTCAACCCCAACCCTTTTCCCGCCTATCCCTCCCTTTGTATTCCTACCAGGAAAGCAAAAAAGCCATCATGGATGCAATGAAAAGATTCCTTGCTATTATCAAGAGTGAGGAATATCCTTGGGAGGAGGAGTGGGATCTTCAGAGAGCTGCAGAGAAGGTGGTGGACTGTGTTGTTGGACCTGTCAAGTAGGTTTACATCATCATCATCATCATCATCATCATCATCATCATCATCATCATCATCATCACTGTGATCATCATCATCAGGGTCATTCCTGTCAGTGTCAGTAGTAGCAGTAACAGTTGCAGTTGCAGTTGCAGTGGCAGTGGCAGTGGCAGTATCTGTAGCAGTAGGCCTAGTGGTTGCTGTAGTATCAGAGAACTTCCGATAAGGTGGACTGTGTTATTGAACCTGTCAAGTAGGTATACATAATTACAGTGCAGCTTCCCTATAACGACCTTCGATATAACGACATCCTCCGTATAGCAACCGGGTGCCCTGGTCCCAATTTTTTCTTTATATATATATATATGTATATATATATATATGTATATAACCACATTTTTTTCTAGTCCCGACAATGTCGTTAAAGAGACTGCACTATATTATCATCATCGTCATCAGCATCAGTAGCAGCAGTAGCAATGGCAGTGACAGTTGCTGTAATAGTAGCAGTTGCAATAGCAATAGCAGAAGCAGTAGCAGTAGTAGGCCTACTGGTAGTGTAGAATAGTGGTGGTGGTAGTGGTAGTGATGGTGGTGGTGTAAGTTATAGTGGTGGTGGTGATGTTGTTAGTGGTGGTGGTGGTGGTGTTAGTGGTAGTAGTTGTAATAGTAGCTGCAGCAGAAACAGAAGTAACAGCAACAGCAGCATTTGTGTTGTTATCATTTGTATTTTACCTGTCATTTCTGTTATTTCATATCATCATAGTCCTTGCTATCAATACATTTCTTTTTATTCTTGGCATAGGGATTTACAAGAAAGGGGGTGGAGGGGATATTTAAATATTATTTTATTATAATTGACTATTGTTTATTTTTTTGTTGTTTCAACTTTTTTACCAAGGGATACGAAGACATACACCATTGAAGAGATTAAGGTATTTTTGTCTGTGTGCGAAGCATGCCAAGAGTATGACCCCATTGCTGCCGACTCAGGAAAATTTCCATCTGCCCGAGGACTCATATACATGAAAACTATGAATGGAGTAATTGAATGGGTAAGTAAAGTCTTGCTGCTTCATGTTTTAAAACACCCAAACACACACACACACAGAGACACACAATCACACACACACCCAATCACACACACATGCACACCCAATCACACACACACACACACACAGAGACACACAATCACACACACACATACACACACACACACACGCACACACATTCACATACACAATCACACACACACACACAAATACACACACAGCACAAACGCATATATATACACAACATTGCACATACAATCGCACTCAAATACACTCCAGTACATGCACATATACAAACACATAGAAACACACATAGACACACACAAACACACACGTACACACACACATACTCACACACACACAGATATTATGTGTGTGTTTGTGTATAATGTTATAACATATTTTTTGAAAATTGTAATGTAAAGCGATAGATAGACTTAACGTACACACACGCACACACACACACACACACACACACACACACACACACACACACACACATATATATATATAGGGCACAAGGGAAAAACCAGCGATGTCATTTTTTTTCATTTTCTGGATTATTGTCTCTGCATGATGCCTGGCGGGGTCTGCTTTAGTCCACCTAAGTCACTTAAGGAAAAACTGGTGCTGCAAGTCTCTGAGATGGTTAAAAAATATAGCCCACAATGGAAAAACCAGTGATGTCAAGCATACTTTTCTTTGTTGCGTCCCTTTGTGACCAATCAGTGATCGTATTTCAGTGAAAAATGGTGAAATGGTATAGGCTTAACACCCCTGTCAATAGTATTAGGTTATTTAAGAGGCAGGACATCCGAGTTTAAAGTCCATCCCCGAAAGGACCAAGCCAAATAAGAAATTCATGTATAGTGCCTTTCCCCTTTCACAATGCCGGACTGAGCTGAGACTTGAACCCCGGCACTGATGCTATTATCACTGCTAAACTGGAAAATCATTCATCAACACCCATGTTATGTTCACCTTTGATTTTTCGAACAACTTGGGCTGTCCAAACATCTCGACAAACAATTTGCACATTCGTTGGCAGCAATCTTTCTTTTCCTTATATCTACCCTCAAAGGGATGAAACTGTACTGTTTCGAGACAGTCGGCAAAAAAGGGGGGAGACGATGTGGCCAGCATGCTGCTACATTACTTTCTACACATTCTGCCTGCTCATGTAACTCGTGCACAGGCCAGAACAAGAACTAGACCATGATCTGGTTTCTCTGTCATGTAGTTGTCCACTAGGGAAGGTACGAACAAGTGAAAATCTCATTTCCAGCCAGAGACCACAGCTCATGGAATGTGACAGAGACCTGGCAGTGGTGAATGAGATGGTCACTGTAGATATGCCAATCAGTTGGGTGGAGCAATTCGAGACAACTCTTTGGAAACCCTCGCTGCTCCAGATGAAGGAGATGACACAAGCCGTATTCCAGAATGTGTTAGAAAACTTTAAAGCGTACTACCGTGTCTTCTGCCTTATACCCACTCCATCTCTGATTGAAATCTGCATCTCACAGGCCCAACCACAGCTAATGCAGTATAGAGAGAGCTGGAATGGTCCGTTTCACACAGCAATCATTATGAAGCTGGAGGAAAAGAAACAAGCTGCAAGACTCCAGCCTATGAAACCCGTCTATAAGAGCCCACTGACCATCAAAGCTGCCAAATATGCAGACATGAAGGTCTTAATAGTGATCTTGCCCAACAGCTTTTCTCTGAATTGTCCCATGCTGGAAGAAAAAGTGCATACAAGATTCTGATGACTCAGAGTCGTCATCCAAAAATGAATATGAAATAAAATTAAAATAAACATAGTGTACAAAACGGTGTGCTATTTTTTTGCTTGAACCATTTAGTTTTGTTTGTATTCACAAATGACTAAAGTAACTCACAAGTCATTGACTTCCTAGAAGATGAATATCTTGCCAATATTTTACAAGGGAAAAACCAACGCTGTCAGTTTGCTACATAATTTTTCTACTTTGCTCTTACCAAAACACTCATAACACGGGGACTGCAAAAATTCTCATTGTCAACACAAATGGTCATACTTGAAGTCAGTTTAAACAGTGGAGAGATCATTGTAGCAGAAAAAGAGTAATAAGTCTTTAAAGTTCTTCAATTATCTCCGAACTGCAAAAACTTGACATGGCTGGTTTTTCCCTTGTGCCCTTCATATAAAATATATTATCCATCCGAAAAAGGTACAAACCGCAAATGTTTGATGGGTTGTTTTTTTTTGTTTCAGCTGAAACCCGTGGATAGATATGATCTCCTGTCCAAGCTTTTTCCTGGCATGCTGAAATCTTTTGAGGAGAACGATGAAGTGTTCACTATGATCAATTCAAAATATTTTACGGATTTTGGAGAGGTCAAGTCTGGTCAAGTTATTGCTGCCCCTCATCTTGGACAAATAATCCAGATATACCTGGATCAGGACTGTGAACCTCTGATCCGTAAGTGTCGGCTATACGGGTCACAAGGAGACCCATTGCACACCAACAGGAGGTGCAACCTTTCTGATAGTGGAAGGACACACAGTGTCTCGGTGTTTGTGTATGTTTGGGGGAGGGGGGAGTGGGAGGAGGTATCAGCAACAAAGGAGTTGGTTGGGAAGACTGAGGAAGATTGGGCTGACTTTTTTCAGATCAAACAATGAAAGCCAAAAGAATAAGAAGCTTTGTATGTGCCATTTACCAACCTTCAGCAGTACCTGCCTCAGTTAAAGTTGTCTGTGCTGTTTATATTTTGATGGTTATTTGAGAAATGCATGTAATTTGAAACTTCTTCCACCTTTGTTTCGTAGCCTAATCGGTGAAGCACAAAATTACTTTAACTTAATCATAGAATGTATTTTGATGGGTTGAAAAAAATGTTATAGCCTCCCTTCCCCTTGGAAAAAAAAGTTTCAAGATCTCTCCATATAGGGACAAAACCATAAGCTGTAGCTTATTTTGCTTATCTAGATATTGGGTTCCTCTTTTTCTTCATTCTTGAAGACAGTAAATCTGATTGTGTGCACAGACTTTGTGGTTCACTTTAGATCCCCAAGGCTGCCATACAGTTTCCTCACCATTGATGCAGCATATTGCCATGTCTATGCTGCTGGGTTTGTGAAGTGAGTGCAGTGCTGAAGGATGTGCTGGCTGTAAGATATGAGTATGACTGTAAGCACTCTGTTGATTTTGTAATTTATCCTTTTTTTTCAGGAGCAATTACGGCCATCTACCCATCCAACCCGAAGGCACTGACACTTCACTACTCACAGCTGATGTCACAGATGCTGGACAGTGGAGACACCTCGAAGGTCACGAATCTGGCCTTGCTGTTCCACATAGCTTCAAAAATGCAGCCAGATGTAAGGGCAATGTAGGACTGGAGTAATAAGTTGATCAGCTGGAATAGATTTTTTAGTGTCATTGATGCACACAAAGGTACCTCAATATTTGACATGGAAGAAGTTTTGTTTGTCATTCAATTCCATCTCATGTACGTATTAGTAAAATATATTAAGATATTATAAAGCAAACTTAGTTGCAGATTTTCTTTTGTGTTTAGGCTACTGGACTCGTAATCGTGAGGTTGCGGGTTCAGGGGTTCGAGCCGTGGGCCTGACGTTGTGTCCTTGCGAAAGGCACTTTAAACTAATTTTCCTCACTTCACCCAGGTGGAAATGGGTACCCTGCCATAGACAGCGAAAGATCTTGTCAGTATGTTAGTGTTTTAGCGCCTATAAATGGCTGCTTGCTCTGAGAAGTAAAGGCAGTTAGATGTGTGGGGTAACTTGGGAAGAAAACATCCTCTTAAATTGGTTAGTTTTCTACAGAAGAATAGATGATGTTCTACTGTCTCTGAGGGGTAGTCCCATAGTGGGCAGGCAGCAGACTGCCTTACTCCAATTCGGTTGAGATGTTGATTGAGGGGTACATGTTGTGTTCTAAGTTGGAAGATTGTGGATTGATCTCCCCTCCTCAACTCATAGATTGGATCTTTGACCAGTGGTTTATTCATGTGGCCATACATCATCCTTCCTGTCGTACCTGTGGCCTAATCGTTCATCCAGTCTTCTTAAGGTTTGACTTGATCGTTTGGCAGCAGGTGGTGTAATCAGTAGGAGTATCATGCTGAGGGAGGCTAGCTCCTTTCTTTGCTAGAGCATCAGCTCTTTCGTTTCCCGGTATCCTAGTGTGGGCAGGAATCCATTGTAGGACTACTCTGATCTGGTGCCTACTTATCAAATTATGTAGACTCCAAATCAAGTGTGATATATCTTTGTTCACATCAGTCCCACTCTCAAGTGTCTCTAGTGTTGAAAGGCTGTCTGTAAAGATAACGATGTCTGTGGTAGCAAGTGGGTTAGTGTCAAATGAGTAGTTGATGTAGTTTGCTGTGTTGGTGATAGCCTGTTGTTCGGCAATAAAATTGGAGCAGAAGGACCCACTGGAATTAATAAAGACTTCTTTTTTTATCCGGTTGGGCAAGTTGATCACTGACCCATATCCAGCGTTGATCGTTGCCTTAAAGGCAGATCCATCAGTGTATGAGTGGATCCATGTTGGTGGATAGGAATCGATTGTTTCAAGGGCTGAGTATTTAGTGCCACAGGATATGTGTTTTTATTGCTCTTGTCCAAAAGTGTTTTCCTAATTTCTGGCTTTGCTATGGTGAGATGTGGTGGGAGAGTTGAAGGAACTCTTTCCAGAGGTTCTCGTCTTTAAGGGAGGTAATGTTTTTCTTGGAGATTGAGGACGGTGTCAAGTACAGATTTTGTATTTTTTAGTCTTTAATTAAATTTCCACTTGTCAACAAGAATTCTATTTGGGTGGTTATTTTCTAGCCTTTTAGATCTTTCGTATACTTCTAAAGCTGCCCGTTTTCTTTGAATTTCTAATGGCTCAATATTTGTGTGGATTTCCAAGGCCGCTGACATTAGGTGATTAGGAAGCATTTTAACATCCAGAGTGCAACTTTCCTTCCTACATTACATGATACCTGCATTCTGAAAAAAAGAGGCTCTTAAGCTGTGCTGACCTTTAATGATAACTTTTGCACACACATGCACACACACACACACACACACACACACACACACACACACACACACACACACACACACACACACACACACACACACACACACATCTAACGGGTACCCAGTCATTACTAGGCTCTGTCTACCCTATTGAAGTCCTTATCAACAAAACAATAATTACATATTCTGGCTGGACCAGTTTGGTCCAGTACATTCAGTCAGTCGGACACAGACAAGCGTGACATCCTTTGTTGTCGTCGTTCCGCCAGTCACGATCTTCGTATGTGTGTGGCATGGTAGTGAAATCAGACGCTCGTCATAAAATTCAAATCGAAAAGGCCGACAATTTTCCTCCAGTTGGGCAATTTTGTTTGAATTTTTTTTTGTTTTTTGGGGCTCAACACCTTTTATGTCAATTTGAATACCATATTAATGCATGCGTTTTACTGATAATCGTGAACAAAGGCACAAC